ACAATTGTACGTGTGATGTTTTTGTTGGGTTGTTGCTTGCAGGTGAAGCAAGCCAAGACAGAAATTGTATCAGCTGGGAAAGGGGCATATCGTTACCTTGTGGGGGCGACATGCATCATTTTGTGAAAGATTATAACCCAATTCCAAATCCCATTCAAAGGTTATATGTCTAATGGCATTGCTCCAATTTCAACCTGCCAAGAAATATTGACTTTCTTCATCATCAAACATCCATAATGATAATACATTTAATTATAGTTGGAAATTTTACAACATTCTCCATTTTTCTTCCTATTTCTTCGACTTCAATTAGAGCATGGCTTTGCAGAAAGTCAATTTTATATTCCATCATTCAAATAATTTCTTGAATGCCGAAAGCAACGAATGAACGGGGAACCGGAACTTAATTTTATGTGTAGTTTGTCAAAATTAATATTTTTTTTTTCATCAACGTGTTTGTGCTTTTAGGGTTTTTTCATATTTGATTCACAAATTATTATTAATTTTGGGAAGTGTCATTGGCACTCCAAAAATCTCATTCTACGCTCCTCACAAGTGTATTTTTCTTTCCAAATATAGAAAGTTTTGAGTGTAGAATGAGATTTTTGAAGTGCCAATAACAATTCCCTTAATTTTTTGCTTATTTTCAGCTATGTCTCCTTGAACTTTTTGTTAGTCTCACTTTGCCTCCTGTAGCTTAAAAGTCATCACTTTACTCTCTGAAACTCAAAATTCGTTCCACTTTGACTTGTGGGTTCTCTCCTCCCTAAAACTTATAGGCCGTCTTCTAAAACATATATGTGCAATAAATTTGATTATAAATTTCCATTATGCATCAACATTCGACAATCAGAGAATATTAATTTTAAAAGAAATTGAAGAAATGAAAAAAAAAAAAAAATTGATTAGCATGGGCATGTCTTACCTAAATCAATTCCACATAAGATAGATTTAAGGCAATGTGGGGGGAATTTTTGAGTTTTATAGAGATGGCTTTCAAGTTTCATGGGCAAACTGGGATCAAAATCAAGTTCTAGAGGGTAAAGTGAAACGAATTTTGAGTTTCAGGGATTAAAGTAGTGACTTTGAGTTACAAGGAGCAAAATGAGATTAAAATCGAGTTCTAAGGAGTCTTAATTTTTCATATGGGCTGTATTAACAACGTGTAGAGTGCTAATAAAAATCAATTACTATTGGTCCCTTAACTTTAATTCAACTGGAGAAATGGTCTCTCAACTTTAACCCAATTGGAGCAATGGTCCCTCAACTTTAACCCAATTGTAGCAATAACCCTTCCAACATAACTCATTTTGACAAAATTCTGACTAAGTTGACGAAATGGACCACCAATCTACATGTTTTGATGAGTTGAGGGACCCCAATTGTAGCAATAGTCATTCCAACATAACTTAAGGTCGTACCCAGTGCACAAGGCTCCCGCTTTACGCAGGGTCTGGGAGAGGTGAATGTCCATAACTACATATTTTGATGAGTTGATGGACCAATAATAATGAATTTTAGTTGAATAATCATTGTTTCAATTTAATTAAAATTAAGAGACAATTGCTACAATTTATTCTTTGGGTATCCTCGACTTGATATACAAAAAGAGTGATGCGACACTTATGGCCTACAAAACTAGCATTTCACTTTGAAGACGACCTGTTACAATAATGACTAAAATATCGATAATATCAGCGATATTATCGTTTTTCAGAGACACCGATATTTTCCCACGTATCCGTCTCATTATCGTCAAAATATCGCGATATTATCGAAAAATCGTCGTGGCTCCGTCGTCAGAAAGGCAGCCGAGGCTGCGTCGTCCCAGCTAGGGCTGGATCGGTATGGGATCCCGTTCCAAAAATGGTATCCCGAATCCCAAACCGATCCTTTTTGGGATGAAAATCCGAATCCCGATCCCAAACCGAAATTTCGGTATTCCCGAATTTCGGGATTCCCGAAATATTTTTGGGATTTCGGTATGGTTTCGGTTTTCAATTCAAAAAACATTTGGCTTCTTGTTAATGGAAGAAGCTGATAAATTAAATTAAATTCAATTCAAACCTGCAGATCGAGCACGCAAAGCAGAAAAGATTCAAACCTGCATATTAAGCATGCAAAGCAGAAAAGAAATCGAACATGCAAAGGAGAAATTGACCATGGAAATCCATAAATCCAAATCAACCAAATCCACATAAAATTAATCCAGAAATCCCCAGAAAATTAATCAAGAAATCCAAATCCAAATCAAAACAATCAAAAGCTCTAAATCGTAAATTCCTAATTTATAAATCCTCATTCGAACCCTAATTCAGAGAAAGCTTCAGAGAGGAAAGAGAAAGATATGGGTCGAGCTTCGAAGATTTGAGAGAGCTTTCGGCAGTAGCTCTTTACTCTCTCAGCTTCTCAACACGAAGAGTGCAGCTCTCTGCCTCAAGAGTCAAAACCAAACTCAAGAGCTTTCGGCAGTAGCTCCTTCCTCTCTCTTCTCCTATTTGCTTCTCAACATGAAGAGTGATGTTCTCTGCCCCATGAGTGATGCTCTCTGCCTCAAGTGCTGCTCTCTGCGCCTTCTGTTAGTGGGAGCCAAAAGGCTCCTGCTTTTGAGGTGGGAAGTCTGAACCGAAACCCAAAGCCAATTTGTGCCTTTCCCATTTTTTTAATAATATTTTGGTGCCTTCTGTGAGTGGAAGCCCAAATGCTCCTGCTTTTGACTTAGGAAGTGGGAACCGAAAGCTAAAGAAAAAAAACATTTCGGGATTTTGGGAATACCGAAAAAATGGGATTTGGAAACCAATCCCATACCGATTACTTCGGTATTTTTCGGGACGAGATTATCGATCTTCGGGATAATTTTGGTTTGGGATTTTTCGGTTTGGGTTCGGGATTTTTTCGGTTTGGTTTGGGATTTTTGGGATTTTTTCCAACCCTAGTCCCAGCTGCCCAGATCTCTCTCTGTAATCCAGGCTCAGACCCAAGATCTGTGCCTCAACGACGCCGATTCCCCCGCCGTTGTCGAAGTCGCGGCGAAAGAGCTCGCAGAACGGATCGCAGTTGTAGATCCAGAACCCGTGGTCTGTCCCTACGGCGAAGCAGGCGTGGTCTTGGTTGAAGTAAACGTGGAACAGAGACGGAGGCGAGCGCGGCGCCGGCGGGGCAGGCTCTGGGGGAGGAGGAGAATGGGTGGTTGTTGTGGAGGTTAAGGTTGGGGTTTGGGGGCAATTGGGGGTTATGGTGGTCGTCGCTAGAGTCAACGTCAGAGGTGGGGTTGTTGTCGGTAGGATCGGTGAGGAAGGCGGAGAAGGATCAAGAGAACTCGTCGGAGAGTTCCTGGGTTCACCGACGAGGCGGAAGACGTGGACGAGGAGGAAGGCGAAGGAGGATGAGAAAGCCATGTGGGAGAAGGATCGAGAAAGGTCTATGTGCGTGTGTGTGGGAGAAGGGAAAATAGAGAAGGATCGAGAATTCGAGAGATCTGTGTGTGTGTTTGTGGGAGAAGGGAGAGGGAAAAGAGAGAAGGATCCAGAGACAACTGACGTCTCTGTGTGCGTGTGTGATGGCGTGTGTGATCCCTGTGTGTGCGTGTGTGTGTGTCGGTGGTGTGTGTGTGTGTAGGTGGTGTGTGACGGTGTGAGAAAAGAAAAACATCTAAATAATTCAACTTTTACAGCTTTTAGGAATGGTATAATTTTCTACACTCACAATATTTGCCAGCTCGCTATATAATCAACTTGATAATGTTAAATCCATCATGCAATGCATTTCATTCCAATTTTTTGTGATAAACTAATAGATAATCGACTAAATAAACATCCTGCAAAGTTTCAATAAAAATTTCCAAGTTTTTCTTACAATTTCCGTGGTTTCCATATTATTTTTATCGATATCGATATTATCCCGATATTTCCATCGATATTTCCGTGTTTTCGGACTACCGATATTTCCGATATCATCAATATTTAATACCTTGGTTACAATTATTCAACAAAGTTTGTTTGAGAGTTTATTCCAAATTTAGGAGCCTAGCTGAGTAATAATATGTTCAATCAGATAAGAGCATCTTCAAAGTTAATGTCAAATTTTAAATATAAAATTCAAATTTGAAAGCTTATGCGGCACTTTTATTTATTTTTTTTCTTTTAGTTATTCATCCGATATGTCAAATTTAAACTATTATCTATTATATTATTTACTTTTCACAATTGTTATAAATATTTTTACAACAAAAAATAAATTATAAAATCCATTTACTGATCACTAAAAATAGATTTGAAATTGTTGTCATAGTACCACATAGGAATTTGCACTTTTATTTTTATACTGTTATAACTGATGTGAATTTTGTTATTTCTCCTTTTGGAGATGCTCTAAAGGGAGAGCGAAATTTAAATTGTCACTGCGACACTATTTTACATAATAAAAATATTATCTCGTACGCTTTAATTTTTTGACGCAATAATACATAATTAGATCAAAATATCGTCATTGTAATGTTGAAAACTCGAATCCTAACAAGTGCTAATATTTATCTTCATTTGTAAGTTGTAAGTGAGATTTTTTGTTAGATTATCACTAAAAATAAATTTAAACTACATTACTACTAACACATTACGAGACCTAGACAACTCTCTCATCCCTATAATGTGGATAATACTTTCGTTGGTAAACAAAAAAATGACAAAAACAATAAAAGACACAATGAGGAATAGTACGAAGCCGACGTCGGATGCCCAAATGTGTCGCAAGGCCGAAAAGATCTCAGATCACCGACGTCGACGGGTGCAGACTTTTCTTGGGGCACGGGAGCACTCACTCGTTCGAACAAGACAAGGGCAGGTCGGTCATTTGACAAAAAGCAGTCGGTGCCTTTTACCGTTAATAATTGCGTGGCGTGGGCACGTGGGCCCCACTTATCCAAGTCGTGCTAATCATAACCCGAGGTGCGCACCGCAGTGGCAGACAGACTGGACGGCTGCGCCAACGGCTGTCAGTTCCGTAATTTCTAGCAACTTCCGGGGTCTGTTTCGTGTCCGAGTTACCCCTCCGCCCGCGAAAATTACTTTTCGAACCCGGTTTCTGAGATTTTTTGTTAAACACACCCACCCGCACAGACAGAGACTTTCTCTCTCTAGACGCTTTCTCTCTCTAAAGTTGAAGAACTTGGACCAGTTTAGAGCGAGAAAGGAAAAGAAAAGGAAAGGAAAGAGAAAAGCAATTGAGCAAATCGAGACGAGAGAATATTCAAATCGTGAGGCAGCGAAAAGTGGTGTGCTTTTGTTCGAATTGAATTGAATTGCTTCGTTTCAGAGAGGATTAGGGTTTGTGATTCGAATTGGGAGGAGGGAGGGAGGGAGAGTTTTGGGTTGGGGATTTAGGGTTTTTGGTGAAGAATTTGGAGAACATGGCGGAGGTGGTGCTGCATATATACGATGTGACGAATAGTGGATCGGACAAGACGAATAGTACCATTCTGCAGATCAACAAGATCTTCAAAGACGGTATCGGCCTCGGCGGCATCTTCCACAGCGCCGTTCAGGTTCGTTTTCTCTCGTCTCTCTCGCGTACTCGCGCTTGCTCGTGTGTGTATGTATGTATGTAATGTGAAGTTAGATACGTAAATTTTGTATTGCTAGTGTAATTTTGGAGTGCTGTGAATTTGGAAGAGAGATCTTGGGTTTTTTTAGGCAATTGGAAATTTTCACTTTGATTCTGTGTGTGTATATGTTAATTGATTATAGAAATGACATGTTATGTATAGCTAATTAGTTACTAAATTTCTTGACAAGTTGTTTATCTTGTTGGTGATTGAGATTGCCTATATTATTGTGTTTGCGATTTATCAGTTTTGAAATTTACTGCTTTAGTTGCCTTAGTAGATGTTTCGCGGTATGATGGAAGTGCCTTATTGTTGAATTTCATGGTCAGCCAAGAAGCTCTCTTTTACGAAGAATGACTAAAGTTTGGTTCTTTGTTTTGTTACATAAGACCTTTTAACTGCGAAAATTAACAGATTTGTATGTAGTTTCGTTTAATTACTTATTTTCATATGGTATCTTCTTTGTCAGCAAAAAGTTCTGATCAAAGTTGTTTACGCTTCATTTGACAGGTTTATGGAGAGGATGAATGGTCATTTGGGTTCTGTGAACAAGGATCTGGTGTGTTTAGTTGCCCTTCTGGAAAAAATCCAATGTACACATATCGTGAAAGCATCGTCCTTGGGACAACAGATTGTTCGATCTTCAAGGTTAACCAAATCTTGAGGGAACTCAGTAGAGAGTGGCCTGGGTATTCGTATGACCTGTTATCAAAAAACTGCAATCACTTTTGTGATGAGCTTTGTGAAAGGCTTGGGGTGCCAAAGCTTCCAGGTAACTTTGTGAGATCGTAGGGTTTACTGGCTATACTAAAGATTTATATGCCATGCAAGTTGCAACTGAGTGTTTACTTGACCGACTATATGTACAATGGTCAGTGATTTCGTTCCTGTTTCATATATGGTGAACGTTATATTGAGATATTTTAATTGTGTTATTGTGACTTCCTTTTGTTCGGTGACTTCGCTATTGATATGCAAGTTGGTTGTTGTTTGGTCGTAATCTTGGTCAACTTACAAAATTGATAATAATGTTATGTGTACAAACTTGATAAGTCTAGGCTTAAGCTTTTTCTTAAGAATAAAAGAACTGTGCGTTTGAATATGAAAATGTAGTCTTGTAAATAGATACATGGCATGTATTCTTATAGCTTCTTTTACAGGTTGGGTTAATCGTTTTGCGCATGCTGGTGATGCTGCTATGGAAGTTGCAGGAAACACTGCAGTACGGGTGAGTTACTTTCAGAATGCATAACTTGTACAACCTTTTAGAATAACTTATCTTTCGGAGTCATTTTTGCTTATTGAAGTCTCATTGTCAGTTGATTGGATCTTCTTTTGTTGAAGTATTAGTTTTGTTTCACAATCCTTATTATTTACTATGGTATACATGATTCGGCTGCCGTTTTTATTGTAGGCATGTGTTTAGTGCATGGGTTTCAAGCACCAACCCTAGTTTTTGTAATGTGCTTTTTTTGTTTGGTCATTGGTTCTTCTAATATGCTAAATATCATATTTACATGAACGTTTTATCATCAATGGAAAAGGGCAATTTACAGCACAATAATCCAAAACATATCCAAGAGTCCCATGAAGAGACTATCATTACGGATGTGTTTAATTAAAGTTACCTACAGTCTTAGCACGGCCTACTTCTTTGTCGTCCTCTTTGCCTTTGTGCTCACAGTTCACTTTACTTTGATAATACTTTGGCGAGTTGCATGAGATGTGGATAACCATGCTTGCTTGACTTTGCCTCCAATCTTTCTGTTCGGCATTCAACTCATTGTTGGTGTGGCTTTAATAATAGTTTGCATAATCACATGAAATTTGGTTACTTGTTACCATGGTTTACAATAATTTCTTAATACTTTTGGTTGCTTCAGTGCTTGCATGTCTGATAGTTTTCCTGGGTCGTTGCAGTTTAGACAAGCGAAGACAGAGATTGTTACAGCTAGCAAAGTAGCATATCGTTTCCTTGTGGGTGTTACTAATAACGCCACAGCTTCTCCCGAGTCTGCAGGAAATTCAAACAGAGGTGCTCCTAGATTTCAAGCAGCTTGGTTCAAAAACCTAATCACCACAGGAGCAAAGCCATCTAGTAGTTCAGATCTCGAGACCAAGGAAGAAGATGCACTCCGGCAGCACCAGCAACCAGATGCAGAGCCGCAGCTGCAGCAGAATTCTCGGACATGGCAAAGTATGTAATTCCAAGGACACTTTGCCAATGTGCACTAGTCAAATCCAAGCAAAGGCCTTCGACGAGTCCACTCGTCGTGTACCAATGAAATGATTTCTTTTGTTTGTTGAACAGAATTATGCCCCCCCATTCATGTCCCCAAAGAACTGGAATATATTCATTAGATTGCTCAGCTGGTAGTTGGTTTCATTACATGATTTGATATATAGCTGAGTTTTCAAGAGAGTTAGGGAAGCTCTGATATGGTATTTGTTGAATGGTTAATTGTGCATATAAAATGATTTTCGCACACCCTTTTCTCATCAGACCCCTCTGTAGTTTGACTAGTTTTATGTAAATTATCTTATTTACTTGAACGTTTCTTTTAATTTGTTAGGGTATCCAATCTAAATCACTCTGAAACACCGATGGCTCGTTTGGTGCCTATGAGTGGATTGAATTATGGGAGTTTTAACGAAAAGCCCATGGTACTGTTCATTTCAATGAAAAACTACATTTTTACACTAAAAAATTAAATCTGATACTATTCACTTTACCTTTTATTTTGTCCTTATCGTTAAAATTCAAAGTTTTCAAATCATTTTCATTAGTTTTCCTTTGAATTATAAGCGTACTTATTTGAGGTACGTTTTAGAAACGAAGAAATTACATAGTAGGATTTATCATCAATGCGATGCCAGTCGAACCCAGGAGCTATTGAATTAGATGCAACACAAAATCAACAAGTGACTAGTCGACCGGCATAAATCACAATAATTTCATACCAGAAAAGATCTTAACATTATTGAAACTACATTAGTTTTGATACAATCCACAAAAAATATCGGAAAGATGAGTCAGCTGATGCCTCAAGGTCATGAAATGTCACTGCACGTAAAAAGATAGCAGCCCTCGACGGGAAAAGAGAAGAAGAAAACACAAGAGCATGACACTGCAACATTCTTCAAGCCGAAGAAGATACGCGTGTTTATGACAAACACCTAGTACACGTCCACGAAGTTATATACAGAACATTGTTGACGAAATACAGCTGAGGGCTCTTCCAGTAACATGGCAGCTTGACTGAAATGTCCATCTACCGTCTTAGCATTCCATCGAGCACAAGTGTGCCTTCATGTGCATCCTCCGCGATCTGTAGAGATGAAACAGCCTGCGCCGCAATGAGCCCAGCTGCAAATCCGGTGGTACCCCAACCTCCATCCTCACAAAATGATTCAGGGTACTCTCTTCCATAAGGCCCAGAAGAGAGCGACCATTCACTGTTCCCTAAGCCGCCCAACTTGTATCCCGATCTGTAAGCACTAGACACCCACCCAATCCTTTCGAGTGAACACTTTGCAGAGTCTTGATAAGGAAAGCGTGCCCTCCTTCCACCCATAAATAGGTCAACGTTGCCAGGACAATCCCAACGATTGAACACTTGATCTTTGTTCAGAACAATTTCACACGTTTCATCTGAGTCTTCTTCACCAAGTAGGACATGCAACGCAACAGCCTCGGCAATTGCAGCGCCTTCTTCATCAAGCCTCTGTTGCTCTTCTTTCTTCTTCTGTTTTTTCTTTTCTAGTTCAGAAATGATGGCTGCTGAAGTAGCAAGGGCTTTCTCCAAGCGCCTCTTCTTTTTCTCAGCCTGTTTTTGACGATCCAACTCGTCCTTCACCTGCTTTTTCTTAACTTTTCTCACAACAGGTTGCAATTTATTACACTCCATGTTATCCATTCGACTAACAACCTCCAAATTGTTGCCCTTGTTTAACTTGCCAAGAATTCCTCTAAAGTGTATACATTTTCCTATAACTGTGTTCCCTTAATTTTCTATATTAGTAAATAAACTTAATTATCTTCTTGTTGAAAACTAATATAATTACTATAATCCTAACAACTACACCCACTCAGGTCCGTAAGAGTACCTCATTTTGCGAATGATGCAATCCCAAACGGAAACAACAGGAGACAACCGAAGGGAAAACCGATATGCACTCACAGATCCACCCCTCGGCATCATTCTTCCTAATTTCCCACAACCCTTGCATTCACCCATCTTGAGCATACCAGAGGAACTGATCATCCAATACCAAATGTGGAAGCAATAACGAAACTTTGTTCCAAACAGCTCACATGGCCTTCCCTGCTGCAGACATAGTAAAGAGAGTAACAAGTTAAACCAAAACTTCTACCTCAGTAAACATTAAAATGCACACATAAAAGTAACGAAATATATAAACAAATAAGACACAGTTAACAGAAGTGCAACCCGTCTTGTAAAAATGTCTGAACATCGACAATCAGACGCCACAACCAACACCGAAAGAACCCAATTGAAAACATTTCAGAAAGCAGTTCAATTCCAATTTCAGTTTTGGGAATCCGAAAACAACTTATCCAATCTTCTCAAAAGAAAACAAAAAATAGACACAAATATCATTATCCAAAGAAACAACACATAATATCAAGATCATAGCCCAAAAGACTTAGCCGACCACAATAAGGAAAAAAACACCTCTTAATCATGACCATGGACATAGCACGGTGCGCCATTGAAAACGAAAATACACTCACAGGCAGAAGCACAAGCAACAAATGCAAGCAACATAAAACAGAAATGCATCCCCCTAATATATGCCTAACCCCAACAATCATCATAACTAAAAGTGAAGTCAAGCTTCCCAGAAAAGAGACCTGAATAACCGAAAACTGGATCTAAATAACGTCGTCATAGCCTCATAGACCTCACAAGCTAGATCCAAAATCCCAACAAACACTGAGTTAACAATCATTTCGATTAAGTGTAAAGATACACATCGGATACTTGTTAGTCATAAAGCTCTGGACCAAGAGTAGAGAAAAAGCTCACAAAAACAAGGGTTACCAATCGAGGCAACTCCGTAAACCCGCTTCGATTATGAATTACAAAACAACACCAATCCAATTAATCCAATCGTAATTGTATAGGTGAGATGATGAAATAACACAAAAAACCAACGAATAAGCTCTCTCACTCAATTTAATAACCACAAATTGAACTTCCACTCCATTTTCTCACCATCCAAACAGACTCTAGTATCCAATTCGTTCAAATCCACACTAAACCAAATAGATCCGTACAAAAAATCAGCACAGCTTCACAAATCCGTACAAATAACAGCGTGATCTAATCAATTCGGATACAGCAGCATCAAATTAAAACACCAATCAATCCAGATCCAGTAAAAAACTAATCCAAACAGATAAATCATAACAAAAATCAACAACCAAATCCAAATTCAAATACACGAAATCAAAGACTAACAGAGAGAGAAAGCGAACCAGATTGAAATCACAGGTAGAGGAAAGGGCCTCGAGCTCGGAATCTCATCCGCGGAATGACGAAATCGGAAAGAAAAAAATTGGGGAAGGAATCGGATTCCAGAGGGAGAAACGGACGAGGAAGAAACAGGGAGTTGGTGTCTGTTTTGATTTTGATAACCGACCGACTCGAGAGAGAGAGGGAGAGAGAGAAGGGGGGTAATCGTGTAATTTACGGATCAGTTGGGGACACGTGGCGGGAGGACGGGGGAGTTGATCTTTGAAAGGGTAAAATTCTGGAATATCTGACTTTTCTTTGGTCTTTTGGGATTAGGTTGGTTGGGGGGCGAGGCAATCAATGGGTGCCACTTGCTTTCCGTCAAAGTGTTCCTATTGGCTTGTTTATTTGACGGTGTGGATTACAGATCTGAAGTTTATGGATTTGGATCGACGGTGAGGATTCTAGTACAGGAATATGAAGGTGGGGCTGTGATGTAGATGGGGTAATGGCATGGCAGAAGGCCTGTACATTGGGCCTATTCCTAGGAAGAAGGAGGTGGGACTCAATAAATATCAGAACTGCTTTCAAATGACTTGTAACCACTCTAACAACAACTAAGTTCTATTGCACTAAGTGAAGTTGACTGCATAAATTAAACACCAAAGCGTTCGATTTTGTCCTGAGTTTTTTTGTTAACTTCAAGTACGTCATATTTATTCTTGTAGTCTATTTCCAAATCTTTCTATATCTTTCTCTATCTGTTTTGCCCTAAGCGTCTGTGACATACAAAAATATTGTAAAAGCTAAAAATTGAAATTTTTAACAAAAAAAATAGGAGGAATAACTCACCATTTTTAATTGTGTTTGCAAATTTCTACAAAAAGTTGCCATAAAAATAGTTTTGGTGACATTTTCATCGTATCATAGTTAATGTTTTAGATGTTCTGATTGAAAAATTCCATTCTCGTACCGTTCTTGCCTCCACTAGTATTTTTAATTGGTTTTACGAATTTTTACAAAAAAAATCATCATAAAGTCATATTTCGTTCAATTTTGAATGAATCAATTTGCAAATTTTGATGTGTAAAATTATTAATTGGTATGATGAAGGTAAATTAGGTTCATTAATTTACACAATTGCCTTGTTGAAGTGTTATTTTTGTCACAGAATGAGATCCACTCTTGATTTATTTGTCCAGAGCCTGCATATCGAGAAATTCAAATCATTCGAGAGACAGGAAAGAGATCTGAGTCACTCAAATTTTTTATTTTGTAAAGTGCTTCAATGAGATTGTATAAGAGCAAGTCCACCCTAAAGGCTTTGTGCCAGCACCCAGCGTATTTATCCACTTAAATGAACAGTAATAGATCACAGTAATAGGCAATAACATCTCCATCCCTAAAAATACGCTGGCACCCAGCCCATCTAATATTATATTATTTTATTCATAACAATTAATATTTTATCATTTAATTTATTTTTTCTTCTTTCTTCCTTTCACTCTCAGGTCCTTTCTGTCTCTCTCTCTCTCTCTTATCTATTTTTTCTCCCTCTCTCTTTTCCAGCTCACTGCTGTGAGCTTTCCTTCTGCTTCCTCTTCAAAATCTTCAACAAATCAAACACAAAATATTATTTTTGTAATCCTTAGAGCTCAAGGAACCCAACCATGGCCTTGCATGCGGCATCGGTGCATGATGCGAGGTCCTACCATTGAAGCCGAGAGCTTGAGATCTCCTCAGATCTCTCTCCCCTTGTTCGCTTTTGTGGGTCCAAGGGTTTCGGTGTTGCTAGATCTCTCTCAGCGATTCGAATCCCTCTCCGAGTTCGAACGCTCTCTCTCTGCGATTCCATCCCTGATGTCTCTCTCTCTCTCCGAATCCTTGACCCCGAATAAAAAATTAAAAAAAAGTGTCTGACGCCACGCTGGCGTCAGCATGGCATCAGATGACCCGGTCCCCAAGTCTGTCAATTTTAGGCTGGCCTAGAGACCAGCTTGGGCTGGGTGCCAGTCAATCCCGTGGGCTGGAGTGAATTGGATGTGTGCCGAGCCAGTTTTTTGACTAGGTGTTGGGCTATTCCACCTTCGGTGGACTTGCTCTAATAAAAACCATCTCTCGGTCCACATGCACATGACATATAGATGCTGAGTGTATCTCAAATTCTCAATCCCTCTCTCAAAGCAAGTTCACTAACAAATGAACTGGCCCAAAGTCCACTTTTCCATCCTAGTCCCCCCAAAACTCACTTCACCCCACCCAATAGGCTGGCCTAAAATGGAGACCAGCTTTGAGCCCAACACATAATGAACTGAGCAAGAAACCGAGCCATCTGACGTCTACCATGTGAACCCCTTTTTTATTGTGCTAGGCGCGTAGAAAACACACACACATGGGCACGCGTTGCAGATAACTCGCAAAGGGGGGGCTCGCTGTGCAAGCACACTACGAGATGTTGGGCGTGGGGATACATGGCGCATTCGTGTCCGTTGGATTTCCAACGTTAAAAAAAATTGATATTCAAACCCAACAGCTTGTGATGTGGCATAATCTTGACTGTTCAATTTTCAGATCAACGGTCCAGATTTTTTGGCCAAATTTTTTTTAAAATAAATAAATGAATGTCAGAAATTAATAATTTTTTTATTATAAATAAAGAAAATGTCAAAAATTAAAAATACAATTACTATTTTATAATAAAAATTAATAATATTTTAATAAAAATTGACTAGGCTATTTAATTTAGAGGCAGAAATGCACTTCACCCATTACAATTTATTTGGATGGATTGAATAGATTCTTACCCGACTTGATTTTTAGGGTGGACTTGCCCTTACAACAACTCTCCCTTTTGCTCAATAGTCGACGATCACTCGCAGTCGCAGAGTCCCCAGACTCCCCACCAAAATGTTCACCTTCATCGCCTTCCTTTCGTTTTGATGATCCCACCTGATCTCATCATCCAAGGGCCACAAAAGCCGCAATGCTCTCTCTTCAACTCCTGCCCGCCCTCCTCAGCCCCAAGCCCTCTTCCTCCCTCACCGCCGCAAACCCACCAAAAACCTTTAAACCCAAAACCCTAAAACCCAAACCTTCTCCCACCTTCACAGTCCGCGCCATCCTCCAATACAACAGGAAGCCCCAATTGTCCGGCGACACCCCCCGCGTCGTCGTCATCACCTCTGGAAAAGGAGGCGTCGGCAAGACCACCACCACCGCCAATGTCGGCCTCTCCCTCGCCCGCCTCGGCTTCTCTGTCGTCGCCATCGACGCCGACGTCGGCCTCCGCAACCTCGACCTCCTGCTCGGCCTCGAGAACCGCGTCAACTACACCGTCGTCGAGGTCCTCAACGGCGACTGCCGCCTCGACCAGGCGCTCGTCAGGGACAAGCGTTGGTCCAACTTCGAATTGCTCTGCATCTCAAAGCCCCGGTCCAAATTACCAATGGGGTTCGGCGGCAAGGCCCTGGTCTGGGTCGTCGACGCTTTGAAAGCCAGGCAAGAGGGCTGCCCGGACTTCATCCTCATCGACTGCCCCGCCGGAATCGACGCCGGCTTCATCACCGCCATTACGCCGGCCAATGAGGCCGTGCTGGTGACCACGCCGGACATCACGAGCTTGAGAGACGCTGACAGAGTCATTGGGCTGCTGGAGTGTGATGGGATTAGGGATATAAAGATGATGGTGAACCGGGTCCGGACAGATATGATCAAGGGGGAGGACATGATGTCCGTGCTCGATGTGCAGGAGATGTTGGGATTGGCATTGTTGGGGATGATTCCGGAGGACACGGAGGTCATCAGAAGCACCAACAGAGGGTACCCTCTGGTTTTGAATAGGCCGCCTACATTGGCAGGACTGGCTTTCGAGCAGGCGGCGTGGAGGCTTGTTGAGCAGGATAGTATGCAGGCTGTCATGGTGGAGGAAGAGCCCAAGAAGCGTGGCTTCTTCTCGTTTTTCGGAGGGTAGGAAGTGCTGCAGGTGAATGTTCAGCAGTAGAGGGAAGTTAGTGATAGCTTGAATTTTAGATTTCTAGTTTTTATTTTTAGGGAACGCAAGAATTAATGTGATGCATTTGCTTCGGTTGAGAAACAAGTAAAATTGGTACCTGTCTTTCGAATATCCCGGATTGAAAAGTTTCATGCTTGATCTTTACCATTGATGAATTTGTTACTGAAGAGCTCTTTTTCGTTGCACCGATACAAAACGCTTTAACTTCCAACCCAATCACTTTCATCTGTTGGCTCCCGCTTCTCCTCTTCACTACAAGTTCTTATGGTGCTCTCTTTCAGCCAAGTCGAAGCTTTTGCTTCCTCCAAACAATTTTCTTCCTGTAGTTGCTTCTCCATCTAACCAAATTCACTGCATACGAAAGAGTAGCTACAAACGGGTTACTTTGCTTCTCCACACCCTGTAAAGCCACCAAACCTCATGTTCAACAATCTTCAAATCATCCGGTTACCAGAATCCTTCGTAGGTAACCATTTGGGGCATGAACGAGTTTTCTTTTGATCCCGACATGATAATTTTTATCTTTTCAAGTCATGTTTTGTGTGCATTTCAGAAACAAATGTGTTCTAAACAATTTGAAAACACTGGTATTACCAAAGAAGGGATGCATTCAGATGGCGGGCCAATTACAGTAGCAGCTAACTCCCTCCCACCAACATTCTGGACATCTATTTCTCTAGCAGCATAAAACCGTGTGTCCAGGCAACATACCTCTGTGACTACGGCTTGATCTGCACCACGGAGGGCATTAGCGAAGTCATCCTTCATTGCTGCTAAACGACTGCAAACATATCACCAATCAGTCCAGCGCGATTATATGAATCGTGCTAATGATACCAGAAACTGTGCTAAAAGGGACTCTGCGTTGTTCTCATCTTGCGTGGATACCTGTACATATGAGGCTGGAATACGACCATAGGAGACTTGACAGGGAACCTCGGGCGTGCAGCTTGAATAACTGCACTAACTTCTGATGGATGATGAGCATAATCGTCATATATACAGTTGCACACAATCTACAAACTCGGCCTCGCACAACTACTGGAGTAACACTTTGGAATTCAGATTTAGGTGTTATATATTAGACACCAAAAAGGTTCTAATTGCTTCAAATCAAATACCAATTAGCAGAGATGTATTCACACAGGAACTCCGACGGACATTGCATACAAAAGCAGCTTCAGGTAATCTCGAGGCGCCACTCCCGTGTATATTAGCCACCGAATGGCCTGTGTGCAACAATGCCCCTGCTTCCTGCAGCCCGTCCACGAAGCTACTCCAAGCAATATCCGAGCCGCTAACCTCATAACCCTACGAAAAAATTCAAAGAAAAAGTGTGGAAATTCAAGAAACCTGAAAATTGTGCAGTTCTATGTAGTCTATTACACTCATTGAAATTGACCCAAGTCAAATGACATTGTAATAGTTCCATCTCGTTTTTATTGTTTCCTGAACTAAAGAATTGCACTGTTTTCTTTCATTTTCTATCATTTGCCGACATTCTCTCAGCAACCAAACAGAGAAATAAGGCTTCAATCAAGCTTCACTTTACCTGTTTTAGGGCAAGCATGGCCAGCGCAGACAATCCGCAACCTCCAATCCCCCACAAAGTGAATCAGTCCGAGAACGCCGTCGAGATGAGATGCTGCCGCCGCTATTTTTACTCGAGGATCGCACGGATTTCGACATTCGATTGCTTTTGCACTGGACAAAGCTCTCCCTGATAAATATCTAGAAGTTGATCTTGGATCTGCGGATGATATTGGCGGGAAAATGGAGGGTTTTGGACGTTGATATTGCCGGGAAATCCATCGGTGTGACACTGACACAGATTTTCCCGGGAAAGTGACGGGTTTTGAAGTTGGATCGTGGATTCGTACATAGAAACGGATGGTTTAACAATCTGAAATGGGCTATAAAGCCCATTATATCGGCCCAATAACTCCCAATCCTTCTTTTTTACTTAAGTTGATATCCAAAAGGCCCAGTTTACCTTTTTTTATTTTTCAACTTCAAACAATGTGTTTCATTTTCTAACATGATACTCTCCGGATCCTTTTGGTGAAAATCCTGAGGATTTTTTAAATTGTGTCCGTTCATCGTACATCATGCAGTTAATTTTTGTCAATTACTGTTTGTGTTTAATTTTAAATAAAAATATTTCAAATGATTTCTAACAGCACAATGTACGATGAACGGATCTCCAGAATCCTCACAAAGAGGATCTAGTAAGGATCCGAATTATGATTTTTATTATCTAAAGCAATACAGTCAAGTTTGTAGCTTCTTTTCACTGTAAATTTTGCTCGAATAATCATTAACTAAATTAAAAGTAAATTATCGTTACAAAACAACGCCTATTATTATTATTATTATTATTATTATTATTATTATTATTATTTATTTTCGCATGTAAATAAAATATTTTTAATTTACCTCTCATAAATAATGAATGCAAGAACACTATAAAATAAAAGACTTATTCAATTTGTCACCTTGTCCACCCATCTTGTAACCACACGTGGCAAGGGCTTTTCGTAAATTCATAACTGTGGGCCTGAGGCAGTGAGGCAGTGAGGCAGTGAGGCAGTAGGAGACCAACTGACCAACGTGGTCCCAATTCCAAAGGCCCCCAACCCAAATTTGCTTGTCTATTTATTTGGTCCCACGGTGGTGAATTTCCGCCGACCTTGACCACATCAAACCAAATATTTGAAACTATGATTTTTTTTTTACTTATTTTAAGTTTGATTTTACTAAAAACGAATTTAACTCACATTATTATGATTAGTCTATTGTGAGATTTAGTACAGATAATATCGTTTGTGTACAAAAAGAAAGAAAGATAAAGAATATTAACAAACAAAATGAAAACCAAGATTCTAAAAGACGCTAGGCACTAGTTGGATGGCGGGCTGGTGCCTAACACCTAGGCGGCTAGACGGATTTAAGTAAATCTATTGTATTTTGTGTAAATAAATGTCTGTTTATACTTAAAATATATATAATTTTATCATAAATTAGAAAATATAATGACATATATATTATGAATTATTAGAACGTAATGAAAACATGAGGAGCAAACATATAATGTGTGTTTATTTAATTGTTCAATAAGTCTCTTAAAATTTATTGGAAACAATAAAATGCAAAAAGAAAGTTACTATTTTCTATCTAAGTGAGTTGCAACTTAGGCAGGTATCTAGGCGGGTCTAGGAGGGCTAGGCCGGTGCCTAGACAGTCTAGGCCGGCGCCTCAGCAGGTCTAGGTGCCCTTTTTTAATTTTCAAACACCTATGCAATAATCAGAAAGGTGGCTAGCCGCCTAACGCCTAGACGGCGTTAGACGGAAATTTTTAAAACAATAATGAAAACTTTTCAAAGAATCACTAGTCGTATAAAGTCAGCTTCTTAACAAGATACTTTTAGGACAGTTCTAATTTCCTACTGTTAAAAGAAGGAAAAGGACTTGCACCAAACAGCGGATATATCATGTTATTCCAAACCATGCACTCATAAGCTGATTACGCTTAATTAGCGCTCAATTTGTAAGTATTTTTAAACTGCTGAAAGTGTTTTTAGAAAAAATGTTTTTGAGTTTTAAAAACACTTGAAGTGATTTATGCTAAAAGTACTAGTTTTGTGTTTCTTGTTGGAAATACTTCAAGTGTTTTTTTAAAATTAACTTGCATTTTTACCAAAATTTGATTCCAAAAACATTTTATCCAAAAGCGATTTTTATCGTTTAAAAGCACTTGTCAAACGAGTCATTCAAATAGTTTGGATAATCCAAGTTCAATCTAATTCGAGCTTGAGTATAAAAGTGGAACACATTGCTTTAGTTAACTCAACTAAATATACGTCTAATATGCTAAACTTAGATTGAGTTTGCTTCAACTTAATCAAGTTAATCACATATCACGAAAAGCAAATTAAATAATTAGATTGGAGTTGGATTCACGTCTCAACCAGCCGTCCGACAAAAATTATATCCTTCGTATGAATTCGTGTAGTTTCTCCCTCAATTGGAAGTCAACTATGTATATTAATCCAATTATATTAAAATTATTGGAGTCTTACATCATCATTTGTGATACAACAAGCACGACACTCCACACGTCGAGCGATGGCATGACCAAACAAAATGGACAAAACGCGGTAGCTTCATGACGCAACAGCACACACACGATATGAATTAGGTCAATTATATGCATGGTTGAGTTGAGTCAGCACCACGAAACCTAGAAGAGTTTGGAGTATGACCCTCTATACAATACGTGGCCTTAACAGATTGGATGTATATCTGAATAACTATACTTTGTTTCATGTCACAAACTTTTGCATAATTGAATGGGAAGCGATCCGAAAAAGCTTTAAGACGTTAAAATTTGATTCAACGGTTATAATTATTATAATTTTTAGAGAAGTTTTTTTTTTGTAGTTGTTAGATCAAATTTCTCTAACTGAATCACACATAAACCCTATTCATTGGAAAAGGACGTGATTAAAATTCAAAATTGTTCAAACTCAATCATACTTTGGTAATTTATTTATTATAAGCGATATTACTTACTCGAAATTAAACCAAATTGAGAGAAATAGTTTAAATTGAAACACAATAAAATTGAAAAAAATAATATCATATCTACTTGATATGAACACGACTCATTTTTTTTTCTTTGAAATTATATATATATATACACACATATACATATACATGTATACTTTTTTGTGTTTAGTAGTTAGAGATGTCTGTTTTGCATCGCAAACCTTAACGCAACATAAAAGTTATTCATTTGTGACTAAAGGCCACGAGTTCAAGTTGTAGAAACAGCACTGCATAAGATAGACATTCATCTCCTGACTCTCAGAAAGTAGAGAGCTTTATTGACTTGAGGTTGCCTTTTTGTATTAGTTGAAGATGTTCTATGAGATTATTTTATGGAGGAGTATTGAATATATTATTACAAACTTTCTACGCGTGGGATGCTTGACAAATTTTCTACAAAAGCATACCTACCAAACACAAGCCTCCATCCTTCATCGATCTTTGACCAACATAAACCAAACCTAATTCTTGACCATTTCGGGTGTCAATCTAGCTACTTAACGGATAAATAGGTTTTAGATTACTCATTAGGAAAATAGAAGTGGCCTCCAACTAAAATCAATTTGATGGCTTAAAAGAAGAAAAAGTTCCAATCAATATTCCTAGTTAGTGAAAACATGATTACTTACGTTTACTATGGACATGGAGCAACTAGTTTGCTTATGTCTCATTTGACTAGATATAATTTTTTTATTGGGAACTTTAACGAAAAGCACCTGGTACTGTTCACTTTAACGAAAAACCACATTTTTACACTAAAAAGTCAATCTTGTTACCATTCACTTTACCCTTTATTTTATCCTTATTATTAAAATCAAAGTTTTCAAGTCATTTTCATTAGTTTTCCTTTTTTTATTATTATCAATAAAACTTCATTCGTACTGAGATTTAATTTAAAAAACCTAAAAACTAACTCGCAGTATGCATGATGAGGCCCGTGGAACTCACATTAATTTCTAAGTTGTATATATATATATATGAATGAACGTGTAAATCTAAAGTTAAGCTCTTCCCCAACATGTTTCATGCATAAAACATATAAATTAAATTTGAAGCAGTCCTACCAAATATTCTCTTAATTTGTACATACAATTGTAAGTTTTATACGAGTTTGTTCGACAATAGATGTAACACACATAAATAAACGAATGTCTTAAGATAATAGCTTTGAACTCTCTATCTCTTTATTAATAATATTTTTAGACAAAATTAATAAATGGTCTAAAGATAAGTCTTCCCTCAGTCCTCATCGTGTTTCATGTACAGTTAGAAGTAACATTTTTAAAAACGTCGGCGAAAGTGATAGCATATTAGATCATGGATGTGATAATCCATGAACTAACTAAATCTTTTGACCTACAAAATTGTAATCAAAAGGGCATCAGGCTAAATTTGACCTTAAGACAGCAGGTAATATGTAGTTTCAGGGCGGACTAAATTTAACCACATAAAGTACTAAAATATGAAGAGAAATAAAACACAGTCGTGCACCTTTGGACATAAAAAAAAAAAAATTAACCCTAAAATAGTATTTAAAATATTATTTTTTTGAAGACTAAAACATAGTCAAGGACCATAGGATTGCTATTTGGTACTACGACGTAGTGATATTCTTTCTCACTTGTAAGTGAGATATTTTATGTTCAATTTTTGCTAAAGACGAATTCAAACCATATTATTACTAACCCATTGTGAAGCTTGGCCCGTCTCTCTCTTAGTGTAGATATTTTGTTTGTTCTAATAAATAAAAAATCATAGTCAAGGATTATGTTTACCCTCTATAACTGGAGATGACCTTACGTGTGGCGTTGAAAATGCAACCTTCACTACTCATTTAAATATTAACTTGTGTAC